GTAGGTAGGGAGGAAAAAACTCCTTATACTCTTGACTTTTGTTCATTAAACATACTTTTTCATACAGTACCTGACAAAAGTTTTGTTCAATCATGAATAGTAGTGCGAGTCGAAAACAAGCGTTAAAGCTTTTAATATGTCTTCAAATATTAATAAAAATGTCGTTGATATTTTCAGTAGTAATTGGTATCAATATCAGCACATTTTAGCAATGCAATTTTAGTGGATAAAATGGTCAATTTTTCCGTGCAGTACTGTACGGATTATACGCTCCTCACCGGTTAAGAGTTTGGCCGTGAGTTGTCTCCTTTCTTTTCTGGCCTAGTGCTGTTCTTTTCTACTTTGCGCCGGTCAAACGAAAGGTAACATCGCTAGAGAAACTAAACGAAGTATAGCTCTGCAGCTTCTCTTTCTTCTTTAAAACTGCTTAAGAATGCATGATGAGAAAAGGCTTACTTTTCATAAATTTATACTAAAAAGCTGTTTACTTTTTTGTCTTACACAGAACTCTGAAAATTCTAAAGCAATCAGTTAAATTGAATGTTTATCAGTAGCTAATTCAAATCAGTCTATTATTTAATCGAATACTTAAAATAAAAGTGTAGATGCAAATAGTCTTTTTCAAAAAAATTGATTTTAAAATACATTATTGAGCATTACTTTTGCTATTTCTGTTTTTCTCGCACAATCTGTGGCAATATAGAACACTGGCGTTAGTAACCAGTATTCATTGTTTCATCTTCGTTATTTTTTAAGATGTCCTATTTTCCTTTTTAAAAATGATAAGGGAATAAGTTAAAAAATATTTAATTGCGAAAATGTATTTATGTCTATTACATTTAAGCAACTGCTTAAAATAGGTTTAATATTCGTTTTAAAAAAAATGTTGTTAAGCAGTTACCTCAGCTTTCATAACAATTATTTCCTAATCCTTTGTTGTGTTTTCTTGATAATATTGTTTAAATAATGAAAAAAGGATCATTTACAAATTGCTGCAACAACACAGACTTGTTAACGATTAGCCACTTTTCGATTTATGCTTGCCTTTGGAGGCCAAGGTTTAGTTCTTTTTGTGAACACGCATGCACACAATTTTACAGTTTAAATCCTACGTGAACTTTAACATTTCATTTGATGGATTCTGGTTTTATCATGACACTGACCTAAATTAAGCGATTGAGTATGTCTGAAGACAGATATTAAACCAGTTTATATTTTTATAAGATTAAAACATATAGACATTTTTAGAAGGCAAAATCTGCAACACCAATCCTATACGACTAAACAGTTAAAATCGAAATAACTGAATTTTCGTATGGATATTTATATGCGATTAACGTAATACACAAAAAAACTTTTATCTATATATATACTTGTTTGCATGGGTTAAGCTTCGATACTGATGAATTGATTTCGATTGCATTTCACAGCAAGGCTGATAGAATCCTGATTTAAAAAAAATCAGAAATCGATTATTTTTCAAGGAAAAGAAAAATCGATGATTTTTTCAAGGAAAAGAAAAAGTTTTTTTTATTTTATTTAGAAAATCTAATTTTGGCTAGTTTTTAAGTTTTTAAATACAAATTCATGTCAAAAATCATCGACAACAACATAAAACTAATTT